CTACTGGCTTTACTGGCATGTGTTAACACTAACTTTGCATACCAGTAGCACGATATTAGATTGACAGCTACTGGCTTTACTGGCATATGTACACAAACTTTGCATACCAGTAGCACGATAATATATTGACAGCTACTGGCATGTGTGAACATTGTGTTTTTGAACATGCTTGCTGGCATGCCAGGTGCCGTTTCACTGTCATGCGCAATTGTTGACGAGTGTCATTCGGTGAGTATTTTGTGTCATAGATGTATTTTTTAGTATTTACCTGTCTACAAGACTTCTGTTCCCATACTCTGTCGCTGTGGTCGAAGCATTTAGAATGTGGCCCGTAGTTTTCTAATGCGAAATTAACATCAGTCTCTGAAATAAAACAATAAACACATTAAAACAGAGCACTGTTTCTTAAAGTGGACGATGACGCCCCATTTGGGGCGTCTGAAACCTAAAGAGGGGCATTATAAGAAAAAATGGGGGCGTTGATATGGAATAGGGGGGCGAAGCATAATTTAAAATTTCATTTATTTTATATTGTATTTTAAATTTCACGGGGGCGCTGAAAGATCATGCATTTCAAAGGGGGCGGTAAAAGAAATAAGTTATACACTGAAATAGAGGAAAACGTTATTTTACATACAAAAAACTTCAAACTAAATTATTAACGATAGATAATTTGCCTTCCCTTCCCACCCTTTTCCTTATAAGGATTAGAAAGTGGATTCGATGTGGATGGGGAAGTTCCCATAAGGAAGGGGAAATATTATCTTTGTGTGTACATCAGACGGTACTAAACCTGACAACTGATATAGTACCGTTCAGAGAAAGTACCGGAGGAAAGGTTTAGTTCACTATATACAAAGAGATTAAACACATATATAGAGTAGGCATCGACACTTCAATTGAGACATTTTCCACATAATCTCTAACATTACCTATAGATATATCCTCAACTAGCTGTTCCCGTGCGGCTTCATCCGCATGAAATTATGAATATTTTATTTTATTGTTAACATTTGTCAAATCATCAATAGCAAATGTCAAAATGACATGACATGACAAACCATGGCAATCTTGGTTCCTTGATGTTGGTAGCAACTTACGGTCTTTTTCCCACAATAGGGTTTTTATCCAAAATATTTACCCCCTAAGTTTAATGACGTGAAAATATATAGCTTAAAGCGTGACGTAAGTGTAGGGCTTTTTATAGAAAATAGAATTATTCAAAAATATGGTGTAATTGCTGACATCTTAGGCAACAAAGAAGTGGGTGTTTACGCTTTATTATAATAGTATAGATAGGTACAAATAACATTGAAATGTTTCTATTACATTTTACAATATATTTAATTTATTCTATATCAAAAGACATTTATTTTAATTTAGTAAATTGTTTTATAACATAACAATACAAAATACGGCACTAAACTTGACAACTGGTTTAGTACCTTTAAGAGAAAGTACCGGTGAAAATATTTGCTCACTGTCTTGTCTATATTGTTATAAATTTATAAATGACTTTTTAAAAAAATTAGTCGAGCGGTATGAGCAATACTAGTGAATTACTTAAAACAGACACACTAAGGCAAATGCATAAAAGATATCGAACGTTCCGTGGTGACGACTAGAATTGTACTGAGCTACTGAGCGACTGAGTTACTGAGGGCCAGAGAGCTTGTTAGTGACTGAGTGACTGAGCGACTGAGCGACTGAGAGACGCCTCACTCCTTGCAAAGTATTTTATGAAACTATACTTCCGTTTCTGATATTTAATAAAATATTTAAATGAATAGTGAATATATCTTACTTGGCGTATTCTCTTCATACGAGCACCGGCTGCCTCGGATGAGCACACTTTTGTGTCGCCAAGTGAACTCCTGCAGGTAAGGGCAGTAGTCCGCAAGAGACACCGAGCCCCCATAGTGTGCCTCTTCACCCGCCGGCACGTTAGGAAGGAGGTCAAAGTGCTAGAATTCAGTCTACAAATTAAATCTAGACCGAATTAACATACTAAATTTTAAACAAAGATTAACATAATACTTTAGTGAAAACCGTATTCAAATATTTTATACCGTTTCCGGGATTATCGAACACAAACACAGACAAATTTTTCTTAAAAATTCAAAATTTTGGTTTTAAATTGTACGATAAAGATTTTCAAATTTGCCTTATATATTGTCATGTACAAATCTATGTAGTTTTAAATTACGTCCTTAACCTAGTCTAGTACTTACCTGGTAAGCTCTAGGTAGTATATTCTCGTGTCGTACTAAATTGCATAAAACCACAGCTGTCCTCTTCGGAGAGCATTCTGTTCTCAATGGATCACCTTTTACTCGTTCACAGAACGGCGCTGGATTCTTACGTCTATGGAAATAAGGTTCAAATTAGAACAATAAAATCCCTTACCAGCTGCTGCCCGCGACTTCGCACAGAATTAAGAAAAAGTTACATATCGCATGGGAACCTGACATTTTTCGGGGAAAGTATCCCATGTGTTACTAAAGACTTTGTTTTAAGATTATGTTAAATTTTAATAAGATATATTGAACTCTTGCAGAATCATCGAGTAAACATGAAAATAGAAAATCAATATATCCCACGAGAACTGTAACTATTTCCGGAATCAAAAGTATCCCATGTGTTACTATGGACATTTTTTTATAATTTTGTTAAATTTTAATAAGATATATTGAACAATTTTAAAATTATCAAGTAAACAAGAAAGTAGAAAATTAATATATCCCACGAGAACTGTAACTATATCCGGAATCAAAAGTATCCCATGTGTTACTATGGACTTTATAATTTTGTTAAATTTTAATAAGACATATTGAACAATTTTAGATTTATCAATTAAACATAAAAGTAGAAAATTAATATCCCACGAGAACTGTAACTATATCCGGAATCAAAAGTATCCTATGTGTTCCTCCAGGCCATCCTCAGCATCTAAGAAAAAATTCTTGGAGATACGTTCAGCAATTTAGAACACAAACTCTAAGAAACATCGCATGCGAAACTTTGGATATACGTTTGTTAGTTTGTATTTTAAACTGCTGAACGGATCTCGACTGTCATAGATGTAGAAGATAGTCTGAACACATGGGATACTTATATTTTTTTTATTTCGGACGGAGTCGCGGGCGTAAGCTAGTTTGTCAAATATGCAATTTAATAGTTACTTACTCTTCTATATTAGTTCCATTTGTATCGCTTGTAAAATATACACCAATTAAATACCCAATAAATTGTTAAATTTTAATAAGATATATTGAACTGTTGCAGAATTATCGAGTAAACATGAAAATAGAAAATCAATATATCCCACAAGAACTGTAACTATCTCCGGAATCAAAATATATAAAATATAATTTAAATATAGATTTTTTAAAAAATATAATTTGAAGAAATAACGTCTAACTATATTTTTGGAACAAAATAAATAGTTTTGTTTACATTTTTTTTGCTTTTAAATATTTTACTTACTCTGTATTATCCGTAGTGTTGCTTAAAATTATAAAAAAGTTACTTGTTAGTTACATTGAAATAAAAAATATAAACTAAAGAAGATCTATCTTAAAAATTAAATACAACAAAATCTTCAATATTTATAATTATGAGAAGTCATAAAAAACGTTTAATGCATTTACTAACCCTTACTTACTACCCTTAGTGTACAAGTTAGCATTAGGGCCTGTCCCACTACTGGCTGATAGAGGCTCAGATAGCTAATGACGTCACTGTCAGATAAGGGAACAAAATCCGATATTTCCATCACATATTTTACAATTTAGTGGGAAAAGCCATTCTTTTATTAGATTGGTTCCAGAGTAAAATAGTCTCTCCTAGTTACCTACGATTTCTTAGTGACAGTTATTTTTACCCTCCTTATTTTACTAGTTTGTGAACCCCCAACCTTCATCAGTAGAAACCCCCAAGGAGTCCTAGACCACTTGGCGATTACTACTAAACCCAAATGGCCCATTTAGTAACTGTTTTAATGAACATTTATGGATTCTGAGTGCGGCAATAAATCTACACTAATGGCGGAATACTGAAAAGAATTTCAATATGTAATAGTCAATGAAAGGCAACACTTAAATTACAAATGCCGTTAAAATTTAGGGCTTACGAAGGAAAGTGTTTGATTCTTTTCAATATTCCGCCGTTAATCTTAAAAGAGACACATGAAGTGTCCTCCTTTAAGAATTCCATCTTCTAAGTATAGGGGTCTCTCTTTAAAAATATGAAATAAAAGGACCCCCAATCCTTTATCTTTGTTTACTTAAGAGATATAAAGGAGACAAAAGTAGGAAATAGTCACTAAAATACGGATTTCCCTCCTATTCTTTTGGGGTCTCTAAGACAAACAATATGAAATAAAGGAACCCCTGTATTTTAGAATGTCTCTCATTAAGGAGAGAATAGTAATAAATAGTAAAACCCCCTAAAGAACTGGGGGTCTCTCTTCGAAAAATATGAGATAATGGGACCCCCTATACTTTAGGATGTATCTTCAAGGTAAGAAACGTAGTAAATAGTGACCTAAAAATACGAGGTTCTCTCTGTTTAGGGGGTCTCTCTTACGAAAATATTATAGAACCCTATATTTTTTGAAAACATCTATATCTCCTAAGAGTGAAATTAAGGACAGGTAATAATTGATAGAGAAACCCCCTAAAGAATAAGGTGTATTTTTCCAAATAATTAATTAAGACAAGGAGGGAGACCCCATGCCTTAGGGCAGGGGTGGCAAACCAATTAAGCATTAAACTTTTGTGTAAAAGTGCCATTTTTAAAGAAAAGTTTATTGCTGTCTGTGCCATCGAAATTTGACTACTATTATTGCGTTAATTCCATGGTCCATTTACTTTAGATTTTCGTAGTATTCTTAGTGCTTTGGTTCGCCACCCCTGTTTTGGGGGTCGATCAGAGGGACCCCCTGAAAAATAAATACCCGAAGCCACCACCCAGTTCAGTAAATACCTCAACCTTTGCGTGTTGAGCCATTGTTTGCAGGACGCCATCGCGAACCTGCAGCCGAGCCCCCGCCCCCAATGCAGGGGGCTCGCGTGGGAATACTCCGCGCGGTACCACCCTGTATCCTCCATTAACGCGAATGTTATACGACTGAATACGGAGTTCTGTGTGTGTGTGCCCGTCATCGCTTCGTTCTAGAAGATAATCATGACAATCATGTAATACCTAGTCATTTTAGTTAGTGTAATAACGAAGCCTTGGCAACTACACGGCGATATCATTTCTTAAGAAAACCACGTGGTTTTTATTCCATTTTTATCTAAAGCCTAGCAAAGTTTTTGAGACTGACGTTTGTAAATTTGAAAATCCATGGCGTTTTATAATTTCCAAGGCTTCAAAATAGACACTAAAATAACTAGGTTTTCTATGACCTAACACATTTTTTTTTTGGGAAACTAGAACCAGTATTTTTACCTATACTAATATAATAAAGAGTAAACACACTGTAGTACAATTTTAAATAAAGCCGCTTATTACACGCATTAGGCTATATGTTTTCACGCTATTTAACTCAGGGAGTAAATAATTTGGAAAAAACAATATGTACATCTACACATCTCCACATTGTTACCACTTATCTCAAAAACTATAAAACGGAATTAATAAAATCTTTTGACATTATGAGGGACAATAATTCAGGAAGGTTATAGGGTAGATAACATCACGCTATCACTGATACAGGCTGAACAAATTGAAAAATTCCAAATATTACTTACTTCGAAGACTCTTTTCTCCCAATGTGTGAGTGCGGTGCCATCTCCTCCTTGGTCTTCTAATTCTGCACCTTCCAAATCTGAACAATTGAAATGTTCTCGTACCTAAAAAAATAGCTATTTTAGAGACATTAAAAAAAATATTAATTTACGGAAGACTAGCTGTTTACAAATTCGTTCCAGAAAAATTAAACAAGTAAAAAAAAAACTTTTTTACTCACTGATAAATTACCTTTGTAACGGTAAAAGAATTGGGTTATTTCAATACATACAAAAATACAAATCTTTCCGCTTTGTAATATTAGTATATATTATTTATTTTTGCCCTATATAGCTTTAAAGAAGTCGCGGGCAACTTACTTCTTACTAATATTATAAACTAGCTATTCCCCGTGACTCCGTTTGCGTGGAATTAAAAAACAAGTATCCCATATGTTCAAAATATTCTCTACAATTATGACAAATTTCAGACATCAGTTTAGGCTACAAAATCTAACAGACTTCATCCATTTATCCATACATCCAAACTTTCACAATTTTAATTTTAGTAAGAAATTATTACTTAGTAGAGATAATATAATCAAATATCGTGCTAACTTCCTGATAGTATGTAAATTAACATTCTCATATAGATGGCATTCAAGTATGCCAGTCTGGGGCATCCTAGTAATCCAGCTACTGGCATCCTAGTAGTCCAGCTACTGTCATCCTAGTAGTACAGCTACTGGCATTCACGTACAAAAGCTACTACAATAGATCCTCGATAAGTTAAAGTCCAAGGGAAACACAAAATACTTTAAGTTATAGAGGGTTTAAGTTATCAAGGGTCTATGTTATAGAGGTTTTGGACTCTGATGCGAAGGGAACATATTATTTTTTTTAAGTTATAGAGGTTTTTATGTTATCGAGGTTCCACTGTAGTATTCATGTATACTAACTACTGATAGTCAAGTAAGCTGCAAGGATTCGTGTATGACAGCTACTGGAATATAACTAAGACTGCTACTGTTATACAAGTACACCAACTAAGGGCATTCAAGAATGACATCCACTGGCTTTGAAGTATACCAGCAAATTGTATTTAAGTATGCAACTACTGGATTTAAGTATGACAGCAACTGGCATTCAATAATACCGGCTATTGACATTCTAGTATGCCAGCTACAGGATTCCATTTATTTCAGCTACCGACATTCACGTATTCAAGCTACTTACATTCATGTATGACAACTACGGTCATTCAAAAATGCCAGCTACTGGTATACCAGTACGCCAGTGTGTCTTACCTATTTAACAACTCTCGATGTGACAATCATATAAAATTTCTTTAAAGCCAGTAAGCCAGTAACTACACCTTACCTCTTTAACAACTATCGATGTAACAATCATATGGAAAGTTATTAAAGCCAGTAAGCCAGTAACTACATCTTACCTCTTTAACAACTCTCGGTGTGACAATCATATGGAAAGTTCTCGACATATAACCGCCTCGTATCATCCAATTCCTTCGAGTTATATTCTTCACAACACGAGACGACCATTTATGTATTTGTAGCCTGGAAATGAAGAGATACAAATATAGAGGCGACGTTGACAATTTGAAACATTATTAATAACGCTATCTATTGATAGTTCAAAAAGACACAATATTAATTTTTAATTGTTATTAGGTATTATTAAATAATATTAAAATGTTATTTTGTAACACTGTTTGTAATTTAGTTTATTGTAATTTTATAACAAGTCACAAGAAAGACTTAAGATGGTACTAGACATGTCAACTAACATAGTACCTCTCAAAGAATGTCTTTGTTAAAACCGGATTTCAATATAAATTATATTTAAATCTTTTTATTATAATTTTGTAAATTATTTTATTATATATCAATGCACGAGACGGCACTAAACTTGACAACTGATATAGTACCTCTCAGAGAAAGTGCGGGTGAAAATTTTTTGTCCAGTCTCGTCTATACATTATTTAAACATCTTTGCCTTAAAACAGACACTCCAATTTTATTACATACTAGCTGTTCCCGTGCGACTTCATCCGCACGAAAATAATGAAAATATAATGTTATTGCTTACATTTGTCAAATTACAAATGTCAAAATGACATGATGACAACCTTGCTTCCTTGATGTTGGCAGCAACTTATAGTCTCTTTCCCACATTAGGGTTTTTATCCAAAATATTTACCCCCTAAGTTTACTGTTGTTAAAGTATATAGGTTAAAGCGTGACGTAGTGTAATGCTTTTTATTAAAAAGAGTATTATTCAAAAATATGCTGCAATTGCTGACATCTTAGGTAACAAAGAAGTGTGTGTTTACGCTTTATTATAATAGTATGGATATAGAATAATAAAATATTGTCTTACTCTTCATCTAAAGGCGGATCCCCTGTGTCCGGTCTTCTCTCTGTTAATGGCTCACCATTATCGTCCCTGGAAATATTAATGATTATTATAACTAAGACCTTCGATCGACATCTTAAGAAGCTCTCGCTAGAAGGTTGGATTAAGGGTCCGATTCAAAAGGCGGTTGTTATAGAAACCGCATGCATAGGTTCCTGTCTGCCCTGACCACTGGTTGCTTGTGTCATCGGATTCCGCAGCTGGTAGTGTTCTATTTTTTATATAATATGTTTTATTTTTATACAAATCTTGTAAAATTTATTATATAGAGAATAAGAAATAAAGATATATGAAATATTTATAACTAACTAGAATATATACATGGCCGGTTTCCCAACTGCGTTTAACCATTCTTTAGTTTTTTGGTTTGATAAATTCAAGAAATGCGTTTCCGAACATAACTTGAGTGTAACTCAATTGAAACATGAGTCAATTTATTACTAATCGATTAGGTAATAACTAGGTGGAAATTTCAGAAACCCAGCATATGAACACTATGGGTTCTTCCAGACTATGTCCTTTTAATAAAACATGTTGAACAGTGAAAGAAGTATTGAGTAAACATGAAAAAAAATAATATATCCCACGGGAACCGTAAATATTTCTCAGCTAAAAGTATCCTATATTCAGACTATCCTCTACATGTAAGACAATCGAGATCCCAGCAGTTTAGGATACAAACTAACAAATATCATTTTATTTTAAACTAATTGTTGCTCGCGACTTCGTCCGCGTGAAATTAAATCATAGCCTATGTTACTCACAGATAAATTACCTTTCTAACGCTAAGAGAATTTTTAAAATTGGTCCAGTAATATTTAAAGTAATACGATACATACAAAAATACAAATCTATTCTCTTTATAATATTAGTATGGACTAGCTGTTTATCGTGACTTAGTCCGCGTGAAATTAAAAAATAATATATAGCCTATGTTACTTACAGATAACCTTTCTAACGGTGAATTGAATGTTTAAAATCGGCCCAATTATGAGTTACTAGCTTTCGTCCGCGACTCCGTCCGCGCGATATCCTATGTGTTCTTTTAGACTGTCCTCTACATCTATGCCAAATTTCATCGAGATCCGTTCAGCCGTTTAGGCTACAAACTCTAACAAAGATCCATCCATCTAAACTTTCACATCTTACTTCTTACTAATATTATAAATGCGAAAGTATAGATGGATGGATGGATAGATGGATGGATGGATGTTTGTTAGCGTTTGTAGCCTAAACGGCTGAACGGATCTCCATGAAATTTGGCACAGGTTTAGAGCATAGTCTGGAAGAACACATAGGCTACTTTTTATCCCGGGAATAGTTACGGTTCCCGTCGGATTCATTAATTTAGTTTTTAAATGTTTACTCGATCATTCTGCAACGGTTCAACATATCTTATTGTAATTTGTCACAGATATAAAACAAAGTGTGGAGTACACATGGGATAAGCTTCATCACCGAAAAGTGTCCGGTTCCCGGGACACGTAGCTTTTTATAATTTATATAGTTCGTATGTTTTCTAATACCACGCGGACGAAATAGCGGGCAACAGCTCGTTTATAATATTAGTAAGATTTCAATACATACAATATATAGTATAGATATAGATTATCTTACCTATAAAATCCAAACAAAGACACACTAAAACCTAAAGCGTGGAGCATTTCATGTTTCACTGTTGACAAAACGGATGGTAAATCTCTATAATTAGTAGATAATTCCCCTGGACAGAAATTAGCATGTCCCGCTACAGGCCTGGAAACAGAAAAACACTATTAGCATCAAAACCCAAACATCTTAACAGTGGTAGTGCCCGCTTTACCATCTTAGCACTGCAGGGCTCGCCCCCAGTAATACCACGACTACACAGAAGATAGGCGTGAAATGGAAGCAATTCCGTGTTTCGTCTGATGAGTGTGGTGCCGGAGGCCTAATTTAAGTCCCTTTCTCTTCACCACCCTTTTCTTATAAGGAGAGGATGGGAAGGGGAAGTGGATTTGACGGTGGAGGAGATCCATAGGAAGGGGAAATATCCTCTTTATATGCGTCTCCTCCTCCGTCGTATAAGGGTAGGCAATGCATCTGCAATTGCGGATGTCTATGGGCAGCGATCGCTTCGCCATTTTGGCGGATTCAGGTGGCCGCTTGCTCGTTTGCCACCTTATGTTATAAAAAAAATCTTAGAAGTCTCAATCTATCTCTTTCCAACGTATAACAAATGATTTGAAACACATAAGTGGGAGCAGGACAGATATACCTGTCTAAAGCAGATTCCTGTTGGCAATGCGACGCGTACGCAACAGTCAAGCCACGCCTACATCTTTCCGTCTCTACCGCACTCACGTATAACACGAAGTCAGTATCTTCTACACCGGTTGCTTCTATTTCTTCTACTGGTACTGGAAAGTATAATAAATATTTTAAGACCGCGACACACCTTTGATTAAACTATCGCACAACTGTTTAGTCTCGCTTTGATTCATGAAATGAAATGAAATGAAATGAAATGAAATGAAATGAAATGAAATGAAATGAAATGAAATGAAATAAAATGAAAATGCGTTTATTGTCACAAAAAAGAAATTAGAAAACAAAGACTTATTCTAAAGGTGACATATTCGTGGCAAAAGGTAGCCAGCTCAGCGTATGCAGGACGGACTAAGCCGTTCCTGCGCTGTATTTCAGCTGGCTCCTTCGCACTCAAGTAACATACATCTTAATCATTAGGGTAACCGGCCGTACTAATTACATATCTATACAGAAATAAAAAATTATAATAAAATAAAAAACACACTTTTAAATAAAAGAAAAAAAAAATCACATCAAACAAAAATGGGACATCATGAAGAAAAAAAAAATTTTTTTTATCTTAATTAATAGAAACAAACAAAAACAATCATACTAAATTAAAAGGCGAATGAACGTACTGCATTTATAAACATCTTTACAAATTTTTAACAAAAAAAAAAACACAATGTATTATGGGTTAATTTGGGACTCTGATAATATTTTTTTAAATTTTTTTGCAAACACATATGTGCGCACACTACTCCATTTTTAGTTGTGCAACTAAACAGTTGAATTAGCTACGAAACAATCGACTGTCAAACAACAGTTGTGCGATAATTTAGTCAGGTCTACGCCTGCTCTTAAAGTACTTGACAAAACAACCATACAGTTTAGAATTTATAATATTAGTTTTTGCCCGCGACTTCCTCTGCAAATAAAACTAAAGTAGGCTGTGTTCTTCCAGACCAGTTTAGCAGTTTATGCTACAAAATCTAACTAATTCATCTAAGCTTTCACTTTTATATTATTTATAACATGAAATACTAACTATTCCCCGCGACTTTGTCCACGTTAAATTAAAAAATATAAAAGCATAGCCTAAGTTATTGAGCTATAATGTAGCTTTTAATTAGTGAAAGAATTTTAGAAATCGACCCAGTAGTTATTGAGTTATTCTAATACATACAAATATACAAATCTTTCCTTTGTATGCTGTAATCACTTATTAATAGGATAGAAAGAGACGACTATATATAACACAATTACTGCAGTACTCTTACCTGTTGGATCCGTTGAATTATCGCCGTTAATTTCAGTAGTTACTTCTAAATCGTCTTCAATTTTAATCGGCAGCGCTCTACAGTTGTGTCCAGTACTGTTACAAACGTAACAAGGCTGCAAAAAAAAGAATATTATTGCAACTGGAAACTAGGACTAGGAGTCAAGACATTAAATATATATGTATAGACGAGACGGCGATATAAAATGAATCGATTTTTGACCTTCAAACGCAAAGAGATACTTTGTTATTTTTGACATCGAAGTGACATCTGAGTGTATGTTATGAATGGAATATGACGATTGACGTCACGTGTCTCATGACAACTCCGGTCGCGTTTTAGTCGCTCAAAAATGGTCGTAATTTTATTTTATTATCAATGGTTGAATATTTTCGCGTCATTTTTTTTCTGGTTATTTTATAACAAGTAGAATCGTTTAAAAAAAATAAAATAATACATGCATATTCCCTATTCATTTAATTACAATTTATTATATTGACATGTGGTTTTGTGAAATAAATTTCAGGCGAAGTGCCTGCCTATGCCTTCTCCATATGTTTTTGAATCTCTTTAGTAGGTCTAGAAAGAGATGGATTGTGGGAAAGAGAGAATGATAACACAGAGATGTAGGATAGGAAAGGAATAGTGGGCGAAATTGCGCTCTAAATAGTTGGTAAGAATTGGATTGTAGAATGACGTTGTTTGGCATATTTTATCATACACGTGTTTTATAACATACTAGCTGTTTCCGTCCGTGTCACCCGCGTGGATTTATAAAAACATTATTTTATTGTTTACATTTGTCAAATTCTCAATTGCAAATGTCAAAATTTAAATGCACAAGGAAGGCATTTGACATTTGATAACAATTACAATAACAACCTTGCTTCCTTAATGTTGGCAGCAACTTATGGTCTCTTTCCCACATTAGGGTTTCTATCCAAAACATTTATCTCCAAAATTTAATGAAAATATATAGCCTAAAGCGTGACGTAAGTGTAGGGCTTTTTATTAGTCAGAGAATTATTCAAAACTATGCTGTGATTGCTGACATCTTACGCCACGAAGTATTGTGTGTTTACGCTTTATTATATTAGTATAAAATATATAAACACAATTTAAATAGTAACTACTATAAAATATGTAATGTTATTTCGAAATCATAATATTGATAGTATGTATTTCAATATGTAGCAGAAATGTTGATATCTGGATTTCTAGCTATCGGTGAGTAACAGTGAAAATTTAGATTTTATTTATATTATACTAGCTTTCGCCAGTGACACCGTCCGCGTGGAATAAAACAAAAGCAAGAAGCCTCTCTGTTCTTCCAGATTATGTTCTACATCTATACCAAATTTTATTAAAAACCGTTCAGTCGTTTAGGCTACAAACCCTAACAAACATCCGTCAAAACTTTCGCATTTATAATATTAGTATGAAATATGATTATTTTGCGTATCTATTATTATATAGTTAATAAAGGATCCATTAATGTCAGGATTCCCAGCTACGTTTAACCGTTAGTGTTATTGGTTCGATAACTTTTTGAAATGCGTTTCCGAACTACGTAACTTGAGTTTTACTGTGTTGAAACTTAGTTCAACCAAACACTAATGAATCACTAGTAGATTGAGGTCCCAGACCAGGATGACGACACCTTTTTTTTTTTTTTTTCTC